CTCTCCTATTGCTTAATAAATTTAGCTAATCATTATCTCTGAGACAGTATGAGTGTGATTCATCTTGCTGAACACTGGATATTTGCAAAGCAGATATTTAACATTTGAGGCTGTTTTCACAGGCACAAGAGAGAAATGGGTGAGTTTTGGCAGCTGGTTCATCTGACCTATTTTAGACATGCCTATTTTTCTTGTCTAGCTATACCACCTTCAGGCAAGTACCACTGCTGTACACATCTGCACTGGAGAGGTTCAGATGTCAGTAAAACAAAATCCACCTGCCACTTAACCTTTAAAACAGAGAGGCCAAAATCACTAAAATCAAATGGGTTTGCATAAAAGTAGATTTCTCACAACATTTTTAACACTTTAATATATCTTACAGTTTTCTATTCCATTTCCCTTATCTTGTCCTTACCTTAGGATATTGAACATGCACAGATAAGCCTCCATGACTACCTACTTTGACAGATACACAGATAAGAATGTACTGTTAAAGTGATTTAGCAAGGTTGAGGTATTTAGGAGCAGCTTTATAGGTGCTTTGAAAGTGGTTTAGTAATACAAAGGCATCATTAAAGCATTTATAGTTTTTTCTGCTTCTTAAGGGGGTCTGAAGTGGAAAAGAAAGAAAGGAAACAAGGAAGAAAGAAAGGTGATGCAAGTATAAAACCTCAGCATTAACTCAACGCCAAAAGTTGTAAAAGAAGCATAGGAGTGTCCCCAGGATGCTGTTTTGATTTGGCAGTTCCTCAATTTTACTAAACTTCCAAGGACATATAAATATTGAAGGTTCTCAGTCTTTCATTTCATCTTGTGAATGAAGGTCTCTTCTTTTTTCAGCCACTGTTATGTGCTGAGAGAGATACAGGTGGGACACTTATGGACAGACTTATGAAGGAGCATTCCACCCAACATTTACTTTTGCATTGTACTTTTTATTTAGACCATTTCAAGCAGTGAACTCCTTAAAAAGCAAAACTGAAAAGAGAGATTCCTTTGTTTCTGCTGAACAGCACCCTCATGGCTTCTCTTGATGCAAGATCTCTGCAAAGAACTGCCATAAAGGATTGCCTGGAAACTGTGTATGGTTTACATACAATACGAGCATGTTTAGAGAATGCTGGTCTGAGTGATGGAAATTTTATTTCACATGTTCATTGTATGTTTTTAAGCTCTATGGCAGAAGTCTTTGCTCAGACAAGAAGTGGAAGAACTCTAGCAAACTGGAAATGCTTCACATTTTCTGATAGCTTCAGTTTTAGTTCACAGCAAATCTGCTTAGCTGAAGATGAATCAGGTACTAAACACAACTACATACACAGCTACTGCTTATGAACACCAAGAGTCTTTATTTTCCATCTAATTGTAGAAAATGGCTTTTTCCAGTTTAATATTATCTTTTTAATTCTGATACAAGTATCCAACTTGTATTTGCTCAGAAACGGCTCTTAATTCCATTCATAAGGGAAGCAGCAATTGCAGGTATCTGATACTCCGATACATCTTTATAAATTATTGTTAAAAATTTACAGAAGACAAATTCTAATCTGTCTAATTCTTAACTACAAAACATTCAGTGAGATTCTGTAAAATCTTCGGGATGAAAGCTGAAATAATTCAAAATTTTTAAAAATTTAGTCCCTGCAGTGAAAAGTAAATACCATAAGGCTTCATTGCACTAATGAAAGGTTATGCAGATATGATGCACCTACATAAAAGGTAGTCACAGGACAAAAGGATCTGCTGTGCCACTGAATATATGTGTCACTGAATGACAGTCACTGTATGTCAGATGTATGGTCAAGATTTTCATATTTCCTCTGAAACTAGTCTAACTAATCACATGGTGATGGAAGAGTCAACATTAACTTTTACAGGCCACCAAGAGTTGTATAGTGATGCATGAATAGAAACACACTTAAGAATTTTTTTTTCACCATGAAAGTATGGCAAAATTCTATTTTTTCTTTGATGATAGAAGAGAGTTATTAATTTTTTCTATAACATTGCAGAAAAAAGGTACAGATACAGTCCATAAAAGTTTTATGAATACTCTTATTTACACTGTGCTTAAAAAGAAACAACATCTGTGACTGCTTTATAGTTTCTTTGTTTGCAGACAAAATTTATCTGGTTTACAGGTTCCTTCTGAAAAGCAGCTGAAACATAAAATTCATCACAGCACTGTGTTTCATATTTGCCCTTTTGCTAATACACATCTTGTCAGGCTACAACAACTGAGGGGGACCACAGTTCTTCAAAAGCATTAAGGAAAACCATAGAAGCAAGATTTAAAATGCAAGAAAACTGATTTCCTTAACACAACTGAATGTAAAATAGTTACTTGTTCAGTGGCTGCAGTTCCTAAAGAACTACTGTTGACTAACTCCTCAGTTACTGTGCCAGAGTCTTGGGACAAGCACTGCCCACTGCAGTGAAGTCTTTTATGCTTTTCTGGTTCTTAATTGGCAGTGCACAAAGCCAGGTTAACCACACCATCCACACAAAATCTGTGTATCATCCAGCTCCAGCTCAGTGCAGAATTGAACCAAGAGGTCATAGAGGATGCACATTTCCAGAACTGTGCCTGCTCTGCAAACAAGGCAGACTTCTGCATGTCAGTGCATGTACAGCCATGCACATACACACATATATACACACACTACAGCTAGCAGCTTCCCAGCAGTAAACCTCTGCTAGAAATGTTATTTAAATTACACGATTTCACGATTTTAAGTCACACTATTTTGACTAAAATTTTGGTCCGAACCCAAAGTGTGGCTTATAATCAGGTGCGGCTTATATATGGACAAAGAATGAAAAGTTGCTGTTTCAGTTTGGAGGACAGGTGACTGCTGAGAAAGGCAGGAGCTTCTCTTTGAAATAGAGAATGTAAACCCCCTCTCTCCAAATTATTATAATTTTGAAATCAAGGGGCTCTCAGGCAAAAATATGGGAATTAGGAATAACAGTT